TACCTGGTGTCCACGAGTATTGTGGTAGCAGCCAAGCAGGTCTCGGGTTCAGACATCGGGTGGCGCATAACCCGGGGTTTGGTAGGACTGACCGATGATGTCTAATAAGCCACAAATGGTCATCGCAGTCTCCCTAGACTTTGACACTCGGTGATTAAAGTTCACCGATCGCTAATGAAAAATAATCGTCCCTGTTTGTCCCGAGCCCCGCCAGCAGCCGCATAGCGATAAATAGTCTAGGAAGATAGCAAAGCCGGCAAAAAGAAGCTAGACCGAAATCAACCAATCATATCCCCTCTTGTCTTTTTCCGCAATGCTGTCTTCCTTATATTTGGCGGTAATGAACAGCTGTCTATAATTCACATGCAGCTGACTGCGAACGGAAGTCTTTTTAAGCAGATAAAGAGGGCGTTTATAATTCGTCCTTCAGCTGGAAGTCCTTACGGGTGATGGCAGGAAGCTTAGCAGCGAGATGGAATTAAAGAACATGACTTTTACGTGACCTACGTGACTCTTACGTGACTGATATATATGGAATCCAAGCAGGAAGAGCTGGCGAAGAGCAGTCTAGGTTAAGGTAGTATGGACCCGATTTTCACTGGGCTGATGTGGTCGGAATGCGGACTTTCTGTTTTGAAGGACCCAGCAGGCGCCAGTACGGTCAGCGCTAATTAACAGCTGAGAAGAATTGTGAGAGCTACGTCCACTTCCAGGTTACTGGGCATCCTCAGCCAGTTACAGACCAACCAGTGTCCGGAAAGATTTAGACCCGAGTCCAATAGCTAATCCCCTTAAGAGCGCATTGCGACGTATATAGGCGCGACAGTTCACAATCTGCGTCGCAACTGCATAACGAAATACGCCGCCTCATTTAGCTTTGGTGTTCCCGTAGCAATTAAATGCGCATTCTAGTCTTCTAAATTTCTACACTTAAACGGCGCCTTACAAGGTAACCGCTCTGTTATTATTCACTTCCCAGCCTCGTGGAGTGCCATAGCGATGGTTATTATGCAGCATTCCTCTTGCCTTCTCTTACCAAGTCTTAGGTAACTGGCGCGTGTCAACCACTCTGCACGTCCCTTGTAAATCGCCTCTAAAGACCTGTGTTACTCTGTCGACCTCAAGCACCTGCTCTATTCGCTGCGTGAGGCGCGCGTAGGCTCGAGACCAATCAATTCAGCCATTTTACTGATTGGCTGCAGATTACAGAGGACACGTCTCGGCGTCGACAGCGGACACGAACTGACACAGACCGAGTCCTTTATAGAGCTCCCATTTCGCAGTAAAAGAGTGGCTCAACCTACTTTGTCTCTCCTGACTTCTGGTTTGGGAAATCACTATGGCAGATAGACACACTCCAAAAAAAGCGAAACCGATAAGGGTCAATCTGTCAGCGAGAGGGCTGGTTACATACCTTGCGTGAATAATTGGTGGTCCGAATCTTTCGTTCACTGCGTGGACGGCCATTTTGTCCAGGAATGTCATGATGAAGTCGTAGAGTATATCCGGTCTGGGGTTCCTTCTTGACGACCACGCCGAAATTTGCATCTGTTCTGCTGTCCAGCTCTGAGGAGGAAACACGCAGAAACTGAATATTCGCGCAGGTTGTTTGAATTAACATGCATAATGGATGAAAATTAACCTTCCCGCTCTTCGATTGACGCTTATGATGATAAGTTAGGGCAAAAACCAGGAGAGCACTTTAATTTATCTGGTCATGCGTAGACAAACTGGGTTTGCGAGTAGAATACCAATGAAAACTGGGCAAGATTCGGTCAAATTAAACGGAGACCAAGAGGCGCATCGCAGTAAGCAAGCTGATATATTTAATCGTCCAGTCAAATCCTCCCGTTGTAGGCATAGTTTAAGGCTATCGCTCATGCATTTTACCATGCATAACTACCTACTTATTTCGTGCTAGTAAGCATGCATTGTTCAAATGTTATACTACGTTTACCAGTGGACAGTCCAGTTCATGCTCCATTGCACCTCCTGTTGCGTTTCATGGACAACTTTAATCTGTAAATTTTGATGTAAAGAACCGATATAATATTTTGTCCAATTCTCAGGTACTCTTGCGCAGTTCTTACTAATAATTATTAGCAATTAGTTTTAATTATTTTAATTATCGGAGTGAGGGAATTGTGAACGAATCCGAATGCAGGACAATTCACTGCTTTCTTTTCAGTGGGTTCATACTGCAGTTTAGTTTGGCTCTGTCGTGTTTCCGAAAAACAATCTGTCAGTATTCTGCCATCATATTTTGTAAATAGGATATCTTAGAGTACTTGCAATCCATTTTAACTTAAGTTGGAGATATTGTGTATCGAGCAGTGGTCGACAAAGCTACAGTCGTTCCATAATCACGACGGCCCTTTTATAACCCTGACACTCAGTGTTCCCAACTGGAACTTCGTTCGTTCGACAAGCTGCTGTTTAACACGCAAGGTATTCAGTTACCCTGCATACATTACTGCCTACAGGTGTTAGTCACTATCACAAAACTGATAACAGTTCACACAAACTTACATGTCCTGAGTCGGAGGGAGTTATTTCAAGCATTCGGTCAATCCAGTGCGTGTGATTAGAAACCTCAGCAGCGAAGACGTTGCAGGCCCTAACACCGTCCGTGAAGGTTTCTTCATTAAACTCTTTTGGCCAATACTGGTTCTGAGGAAATTTTTCAGTTTCGGCTAAACTGCAGGGGGAAGAAGGTAAAGAAGAAAGATGCAGTGGTTGCAGTCCTTATCATTTTCCTACTAAAGAGCAGAGACAGACTAAGGGTTGCCATACGCCTGTTGCAACGCTGTGTCAACCGTGAGTACTTGCCCGCGCCACAACTTCGACTTCGAACACATGCAAATAATAGGTCATTCGGACGACCGAATGTTGCGCATGCTACAAGATACATAGCACTCGCACGCGGACTCTATTAATAGCCATATCGATCTTCGAGATGCCTATCTCGCGTCGCGCGAGCAATGACAGCGCTCAAGGTTACTCGCGGCGGAGCGAACAATGTGAACTAAAGGTCACTCCCGTCAGAGTTGAATGAATCATGCAGTGAGCCGTACCTTTTTCATTCCTTGAGAATGGGCTCGAGTGAGAGTCCGAAACGTCGGGAAATTAAACACTGGTCCTAGAGAACCTTTTTCCAGCTTCTATTCAATTACCTGGGCCTCACATATTTTCATATATATATATATAATAAAATATGATGAAGTGGATCCGACAAAGCAAAGGAAGACCGGAATGGCCATTTCTGGTTTATTAGCTGTCATCAGCCAGTCATACCCAATCTCGGCAAACGGTTGCTGACCCGAGTGGCCGAGCACATAAGGGCAGTGAATAGGATCGACTGTCCTTGGTGTCAAAACATTGTGCAGGCTCCGGACATAGGTTCGCCTTTGAAACTGCAGAAATTCTGGTTCTGGGACCGCGTAGTCAGAGAAACAATCGAATCCTGGCACACGGGGATAACCACCATCAGC